CTCAGTTACATTATATAGTCAGGAAAAGCAGTCATCCTTTATATATGACTCACATTTGATCCCATATGGGTCTGCCAGGCCCTCTAGCACAAGGTAATGATGAGATTGATAAATTATTGATAAAAAATGCGCTGGAGGCCTCAGAAATTGATAAAAAGCATCAGTCAATAGTAATGGTTTAAAAAAGGATTTTTCCATAACTTGGCAACAAGCCAAGGAAATTGTAAGAAAATATCCTACTTGTTCCTTTTACAATCAGACTCCATTACCAGCAGGATGTAACCCAAAGGGTACTCAGAGGAATGAAATCTGGCAGATGGATGTGTTTCACTTTGCAGAATTTGGAAAATTGAAATATGTACACCATAACATTGATACTTGTTCAGGATTTCAATGGGCAACTGCTTTGAGCTCTGAAAAAAAGCTGATTCTGTAATCAATCATTTGCTAGAAGTTATGGCCATCATGGGTATACCTGCAAAAATCAAAACTGACAATGCTCCAGCATATGTCTCTGTTAAAATGAAACAGTTCTTTGCTTATTACAATATAAAGCATATTATAGGTATACCACATAATCCTACAGGCCAAGCAGTTATAGATAGAGCAAACAGAACTCTAAAGGATATGCTAAATAAACAGAAAGCAGTAACAAAAACCCCCAGAAATAGACTACATAATGCTCTATTAACTTTGGATTTTCTCAATGCTAATGAGTAAGGAACAACAGCAAAGAGACATTAGATAATAGAAAAAAACTACAGAATTAAGTCAGCCTATATACTTTAAGGATGTGCTGACCTCAGAATGGAAACCAGGATATGTGTTACATTGGGGACGAGGTTTTGCTTTTGCTTCTACAGGAGAAGATAAGCTGTGGATACCATCAAAATTGATAAGGTTCGATTTGAACAAGAGAGACTTCTTAATTAGAAGAGGTGATAGTTCATGAACCAGCATGATCATCCAATTGAAACTAACTTATACCATAACATATGCCTTTTCATTTAATCAGATATAACTTGCCAAAAGGGAACCTCCCCAAAATTAGTCTTGGGGAAAGGTTTTTGTTTTTGTCTTTTAGGAGAATGAAGGTTAAGTAATCTGAAGAACACTGGACAAATGAGACATCTGAAGAAAAAGAACAAATCCTCAAAAAAAATGTCCAGAGAAAAAGATTAAAATGGCCTATTGGTCTATCATCTATAAAATTTCATAAGTCTTCCTAAATGTTTTTTTTCCACACTTCTCTAAAGACATAGAACACTATTGGTCTTCTTGTAGTGCCAGTTCAATTAAAATTTGAAGCTGGTTTTGGAGTTGGAGAATGGCTCTCTCCTTTTTAAACCCAAGCATGTTGTTAAAAGGAAAATACAAACTCCCTGTATCATACCAGAAAAAAGAGCCATGTTCTGATATGGGACCAAAGGAAAGAAACAGACAAACAAATAAAATTTAAGGGACTATTCTATTACTACTAATCTCAATTCTTTCATTCTATTCTGATTCTTTAAACTTTTATTAAAGTATGAATTTTATATCAATTTACAAGATATACATATATATATATATTAACTTTGTTAAGATATCAATGGTCATACAGAGTACTAACTAATTCTAGAAAAGGGGCTTCAATTAGCTGCCAATACATGTCTTTGTATTTGAGTCTTTATCAGTGTTCTGCAGGAAATCATGGCTATGCCTAACATCAAATTTGAAGTCTCCAGGAACAAGATGGGGCTCCACAACAACAAGTATTCTATGTGGACAATAATAATACCACTAAGCTGACAAACATCATCTACAGATCAGCTTTGGACTACAAACTACTAAGAGCAATTTTGAGATGGCTAGCTGAGATGATCCAGTTTCACAGACTACTTGAATAAAGACTTGAAATAAGCCCTGAACTTTGGCATTATGCACAGACTGGACAACAAAGGATATAGCTACCTTTCCTAGAATTTGACAATTAACCCAAAATTTTTCTTTTCAGAATAAAGATACCTTTGCCCATATCCAGCCTGAAGCAATTTTAAGAATATGACGCCCACATTCCCAAAAAGGTGGTATGGGATGCGTGTTTTCTTGGTCTTTTAATGGGTTTTGTGTCTGGGATAATTTTCATTGTTTAGGAGGTTTGGTTACAAGTTGTTGTTAAGGGTTAGGAAAAGGGCTAAGCAAAGGAGATTAGATTTAAGGTTCTTGTTTAAAAAAAAAGGATATGTGGAAATGATAGCATAGAGGGTAGATTAGTGAATCTATTCAGAAAAATAAAGAGAAGATACAATACAGATAAAAAGATAGATTTTTGAATCTACTTTTAAAAGACAATTACTAGTTTTAAATACTTTACATTGGATTGGATTTTTGTATATTGTGTACAAATTATATATATATATATATATACATATATATATATATATAGAGAGAGAGAGAGAGAGAGAGATTGATATTGTCAGAAAATGCCATACATATATTTCTAATCTTGTTCAAGATATTGTACTTAGGCCATTCTTTTATCAATGTTATGCAATTTGCAAATTCTTGAATGTTATTTTTACCAACTATTAGGACATAAAGAAATGGAAGTTAATAGTTAGACATTACAATCGAACTAGTAGTCATATTAGGTATGTTTTCAAGATCTAGCAGATATATTTTAGATAGGTCATCTTCAAATCCTTCAGAGATCTACAGAATATGGCACTTAAAATGTTTTAATAACTTAGAAATTTTTCTTTTTTGAGACATGTTGGCTCCTGGCAATACCAATCTACTTCAGAGAAAATATGAGCATTGAAGAAACTGCACATGGAGTTAACTTTCTTTGTGGCAAAATTTAGCTACTGGATAACAAAATATCCTTGAATTGACTGCTGACAAACAGGACAAAATGGACAGACAGGACACAAAACAAAGGACTACTGATTCTTGGCAAGATAAGTGTGGTTGTGGCTTTAACAAAAGCCATCTTCTGAGGCCAGGACAATATGGCACCCTCCCTGAAGTGGCCTTCGCAATCCGGAAAAAGTACAGTGCCCTTTTCTTTGAAGGCAGCTAAACTGGCAGTGGACCTATGGCTTCTGATGTGCAGTACAACAGCAGCTGAAACAGTTATTCTTGAAAGAGTAACTAAGCTGACAGAGTCTAACCTCTCAGTGGTAGACTGGCATTTAATAGAGAGATGCAGAGAAGGATGGGATGCTGAGATGAAGCCACACACACAAGCGAAGAACAATGGACAGCTGAATTAAAAAAACATCAACAATTTCCAAAATTTAAAATCCTGAATCATGACAGGACACTAGTAGAATTCAGGTGTTTCTGGTACATGGAATACTCTCACCAAATGTGAGGTTGAACTGTTGGCCTTGTATACATTCTACTTCACAAATGAGTCTGTCAGATACGCTAAGCCTATAGGCTGAAGATGATGCCCCAACACTGCAGAGAAACCTCTGGTGACTGTCCAGGCATCTGGCTGTTTCTGTCAACTCACAATTTTTTGGAAGCTGCTTGCATGCACTTCCTGTTTTTATTTTTTTTAGGTAATATTATTTCCTTCTTAGGTCTCTGAGGGAGTTAAAGATTAGTTATAGTTATAGTTCAAAATCAATTATAGTTAAAGATTAGATAGTTATAGTTTTCCTTGTTAAGAATTTTTGTTTTGTTTTTTGTTTTTTTGTTTTACGAGACAGGGTTTCTCTGTGTAGCTTTGTGCCTTTCCTGGAACTCGCTTTGGAGATCAGGCTGGCCTCGAACTCACAGAGATCCCCCTGCCTCTGCCTCCTGAGTGCTGGGATTAAAGGTGTGCACCACCACCGCCGGGCCCTTGTTAAGAATTTTAGAAAAGAAATTCACTAATGAGGTGTAAGTGTATTGAAAGACATAGTTCTGTTAGTAATATAAGTTAGAATAGAAAGTGAATTAGGTATATTTTGGACTTACCAAAATAGGATAGATAATGGAATATTTTCTCTGACTTTGTCACATGCAAATGTACTAGACATTGTTTAGGTATTTATTGCTTGTATATATTAAATATAGTTATTATACTTATTGCACATAGTTTTTTTATATTAGTTATAACTTTTTTCTTTTTTTCTTTTTATTAGAATAGAAGGAGAAAATATGATGATATTTTATTTGTGCTGAAATGTGATTTTATTTGCATGTTAATAAATAAATTTACCTGGGCATCAGAGCTAATAGCAAGCCATAGCAGGAGCTGGGTGATGATAGCACATGCCCTTAATTCAATCACATGGCAGGCAAAGTCTGTGTGTTCAAGGACATGGCCAGCTTGATGACACATGCCTTTAATCCAAGTACCAACCATAGAGACCTGGAGGTCTTATAGACAGGCAGTGAATAAGAAGTCATGCGGTTAGGTTTAGAACCAATGAGAAGGCAGAACAGAAAATCAATATAAAGACAGACACACAGGAAGTAGGTCTCTTTTTGAGGGGAAGGATGACCGGGACAGCGAGGGGTAAGAAGGCAGTCTTGGTCTTAGCTCTTGGCTGCTGCTCTGACCTCTTGGGCTTTTAACTCTGCATTTGACTCTGTGTTTCTTATTTAAGAAGACCATTCAGAATTACATCTACATATGTGTGCTATCCACACATTACCTTTGGAAGTTGAGTCCCTAGGACTGGAGTGACAAATGGTTGTAACCACCATGTGGGTTTTGGGAACCAGACCTGGGTCCTATGAAGAATAGCAAAAGCTCTTGACTACTGACCCATCTCTCCAGGTTTCTGCCGAGAATTTTATAGAAAAATGGTAAACATTAAAGTATAGCTTTGTGTACCACATATTCTTAATGAACTTTCTATGAAATGTTGTGTTTTAATTGTAGTTGAAGTTTGGAAAATGTGTTCTCAAGCCATTATCATATTTTTAAAATTCAGATGAAACATTGCTAATTATGGTCATATTTGCTGAGTCAACATTAACTGTTTTCTTTTATACCAAATCTTCTGTTTTATCTCAAGGTTCCCTAGCAAATTTTTCAGATGCAGATGTAGAAAAGACTGTGGTGAGACCGGGCTACAGTAGCTTCCTGATCACAGAAGTTAGAGATCTAAAGAATGTTTTATCCCTGGCTACTATGCCTCATAAAATAAAATCACCTTTGAACTTCCCAGAAAATTCTTGGTTCTTATACAGCTTTGGCTCAACAAAAGGACGGAATTGGACCATAAGTTTAAAACCATGTAATTATTGGGTTCAACAAGATGATCATGATATTGTATCCCTCAATGTTGTGAAGTATCTTGATGTGGGAAACAAAGCAAATTATGGACTTAAGTTGATCCCTAATACAAGAGGTAAGTTCTCATTTATAGAAAAGGAAAAAGGAGTTATTTCTTTTCTTAAGTATAAAACATAACTCTTTGATATTCAGTTTGGCTCTGTGATGCTAGGATTCTACTACTAACAGAGTTAATTCTAATTATGGTTGATGACTACATTCTAGGCTCTGTATTAAATGTTTTCTAGACATTTTTAATGTTTGCAGTCACCCTAAAAGTCTAGATAATAATAATTTTATAAACCAGAAAATGAAGGTAAATTGTAGCATAGTTTTTTTGTTGTTGTTGTCCTTCTAAATGAAACCCTTTTAATTTCTTTGTTATGGCAAAATTTCTCTTAGGTATTTTTAAATAGATTTATTTTTATTTTGGGTCTATGAGTGTATTGCCTGCAATATCTTCCCCATAAGTCTGTGCATGGAGGCTAATAGAGGGTATCAAATACCCTGGAACTCAGTGACACATGTGTAAGATAACCTGTGAGTGCTGGGAATCAAACCAAGATCCTCTACAAGAACATCAAGTGCCCTTAACCATCTCTCTAGCCCCTATTTCAGGTATTGAATTCAAGCAAAATGGATTTTACATAAAATGCTATATTATGTCTTATATTTCGGCATATTTATTGTAAAAACATGTAAAGCTAGGCTGGTAGGATGTCTCAGCAAATTAGGGCACTTTCTCTTTTTTTGGTTTTATAAAATGTAGTTTTATTTTATGTTACTCTGCTGTTACTTAGGGCATAACATTTCACAAGGCTTTTCTGGGACTACAGTCAATGATTAGCAAACACACAGCTCTCTGAAGAACAGTCACTGGACACACTGGACACCCTCTCACATGTGTGTGAATCTGCATGGAAAAGTACTCAACTTTAGACTTGGACTTGTGTTCTTATTTCTCCTTTTTAGTGTATTAAGAAAGGACATGCATTTTAATTTGCCCAAAGCAATGCTTATGTTCTGGCAGCAACATGCTACTTCTATTACAAGGTAAAGGGAATACCAGAGCTACAAAGGCAGGAGGTGTAAGTGAATTTTTATTGGGAAGGAAGTTGTCAACTCAAACAGCAGCAAATGAAGAATGCATGAAGGAAACTCTGTTGTCACAGACATGACCCCAAGGATATGTGACACAGGAGACATTTCCATCTGTGACCTCAAGACTGAATGCATTAAGAGCTTTTCCCATTTATCTAACACTTCTGGATTCCTACTAAAAAGGAGTATGCAGGAAGAGTACTGAAAGGTTGCTTCTGAAAGGAATTCTCTAAAGAAGGGTCAGAGAGGGAATGTAGAAATCAGGAAGTTATTATTACAATTACTTTCTTTCTTTTTTTTGCGGGGGGCGGTGGGGGGCGTTAAAGACAGGGTTTTTCTGTGTAGGTTTGGTGCCTGTCCTGAATCTCGCTCTGTAGACCAGGCTGGCCTGGAACACACAGAGTACTTTTGATTACAATGCACTACATTTCCATATCTTCACAGTAAAACAAACATGGCCACTTGCAGAACTGGTTCAGATGCCATAAATACCAAATGCACTGTCAGTCCTCTGCACAAGTGTCTGGAACTTACTTGTGTGTGTATGAAATAAAACTATTGATACTTTTCTATAGCAGTAACTGCACACCAGGAATGCCAAGACAACACAAATCAAGGGATAGAGTTTTCCCAAAGCTGAAGTGTGAAAAGACTATAAACAGTTGATCCCATACACATGAACGGGCTTCCTTGCTAGAGGAAATCCAAGTGGAATAAGGAATGGAAATGTAAAAAGGTTTTCTTGAGGGGACAGAGGACAACACCTGGCATGCCTTTAGTTTTCAGCCCCATCCGCTGCATCACATTCTTTTCCTGTCCTATGTCCATAATGTTATGTTGTCTCTTAGCAACTGCATGATGAGAGGGCTGTCTCTGTAGGAGTCTTCATTTAGTGTAAGAAGCTCTGCAATAGCCTCATCAAAAGCCATTTTAGCCAATGTGCAGGCAAGCTCTGGATTATTAAGGATCTCACAGTAAAACACAGAAAAGTTAGCCGGGCGGTGGTGGCACATGCCTTTAATCACAGCACTTGGGAGGCAGAGCCAGGCAGATCTCTGTGAGTTCAAGGCCAGCATGGGCACAAAGCTACACAGAAAAACCCTGTCTCAAAAAGCCAAAAAAAAAAAAAAAAAAAAAAAAAAAAAAAAAAAAAAAAAAAAAAAAAAAA